CTTCTGATGTAGAGCTCAAATCCTTGCTGGGATTTTGTACCCGCAGGGATGCAGCCAGAGGGATGTTGTGTCGGGATGGCAGGACCTGGCCGTGGGGGGATGCTCAACCCCAAACCTTGCCCCAGGGCTCGCTCCCCAAACCCCACTCCATGCACAGGCTGGGCGAAGGGAAGAATTGGAGACACTGTTTGTTTTGCCTGGAAAAATGTCATTTTGACACCGGTAGCAGGCAGAGATCAGCCAGAGCCTCAGGCTCCATCCTCTGTTCCACTGAATGCAGAATGAGCACGACATGGGGGGGCAGCTGCTTTGCTTTCCCTGGGGCACCCCCATATTTTGGGGGTGGCACTCAAGGGAGAGCCCAGCGCTTTGCACACCAAAAAGAAATGTGGTCAGGAGCCAGCACCTTCCCGCAGGGAAAATCCTAGCAAAGAGAAGGCCAAGCGATGCGCGTTCTAAGAGGAGATGCTCCGGGAATCTCTATACAAACGAAAAAATAAAAATATAAAATGATAAAAAGATACAGATACTAAAATATTAAAATGCTGGGTGTTATAGCAGTGATGCTACATGCCAGCACGCAATTAAAGCCCCAAACTGCCATCTCCCAGCTGAGACTGGGGTTGTGAAGCCTTGGCCCCGCGGATGGAGGGAATGGGAAGGGGACACCCCCCACTGCAGCCCTGAACCAGGGGCCACACGTGGCACAAGCCTGGGCTCTCCCTGGCAGCCTTTATCTCCTGCAAGGGCCTGGCTTCACAGGGTGTTGTCATGGGAGGTGAGGAAGGAGATGGGAGAGGGAAGCGCTGATGAAGAATCTTCACAGGGCACAGGTCTCCTGCTCCTGGCTTTGAGCAATACTGAGACCCAGGGCAGGATCCTGTCCCTCCTGGGGGCTGGCACATCCTTCCCAGGGCTCCTCCGAGCTGTCGCACTGCTCCATTTCCATCCGTACAAATGAATATAGGCAATATTAGTTTACTTTTTCTATTTTCTATGCATATATCTCCGTCATCTGTTGAGTATACTTCTATTTTTTTTTCCACTTATCACAATGCTAAATGAGCATTTTGCCTCTCTCCCTCTCTGGTATTTCAGTTTTGTACTGATATATTATTGGTTTTCAGGGGCTGTGCTATACCGAAGGAGACTTGAAGCTAAAAGCAGACATGAGAATTAAGCAACCAAAACGTAAAAATAACAGACAGAAGGGGCTTTTGAGCAGCAGAGTGCCCCGGATGAGCACAGGGAGCATCCATAGCAGAGGATTTATAACATTGCTGCAGTCCCTGGCTTGTACCTGGGTTGTGTCCCCCACATTCAGGCAGGCAGTGGGGTTAGACCTCAGCGTCACAGCTGAGCTTCCCACCTGCATCTGCCTGCGCATCTCCATCACACCGGCTCAGCGGTCACCGCCCCGAGCCGGCGAAGCATCACCCATCCTAAAAAAGGAAGGATTTTCACCCAAAATGGGGACAAAGCTCAGCTCCCCTCCAGTCCCCCTTTTCTCCTGTTGCCCTCAGGTGCGGGCAGCACGGGGAAAAGCAGTCCTGCATCTGAATAGCATCTCCTGGGATCGTTCTTTTATTAATGGGGCTTTTCATGGCAAGAAAGTAATGAATGAGTTTTAAGCATGCCCATAAATGCAATGTTTCGAGACGTCATCTGCAGAATACGTCTATTTTGGGTGCCCTCCCCCCTCCCTGCCCCCCCTCCCCCAGTTTGTTTTAACAATGCTGTAATTTTCTATTACAAAATGAGAATTTTCTGTTTAACTCCGTGCAGCCCGTTCAGCATTTGCATGCACATGTGCGTGCACCGGTGACATTTGTCACCATCAGATGCTATTTTTAGGCCTGTTATTCCTGAGGACCCCACCCTTGGCTTGGGGAGGGGAAGGGGGGAGTGCAGGAGGAGGGAGAGGAGGGAGGCGGAGGAAGGAAAACGTCAGCCTCAGCACACTTCCAGCCTCTGGCCATCAACCTCCCCGGGGGCATGGGAACCATAAGGTCATTTCTCAGGCTGGCTGAGCTCTGGAGCTGTCAAACCACCCTACGAGTTTAAAAAATGCAAATGTATGCAAATGAATCGCTTGGACTGTTTCTCTTCCTTCTCCCCCCCCACCCCATTTAAATGACATGAATCACCTTCAATTTTGCCAGCATCCTGTAAAGTTACCGGCTTGCCTAAGAGCTTCGGTTAACAAAACCACATCTCCAGAGGACCAGGAGGGGAAAAGAAAGAAAAAGGAGTCCATTCCCACCGAAGGGAGCTGTACATCATTTTGGTTTATACTCACATCTCCCCCTGATCTTCTAATTCCATTTTTTCTTGCTTTCTTGCTGCCGAGTGAATAATCCACAAATTAGGGAGGACACAGTTCAGTGTCAGGAAAAAAAACCCAGAAAAACAATTGTCAGAGTAGTCTAATATTCTGCTTTTCTCATCTTTTGCACTTAGGGTGATTTGGCAATAAAAGATCAAAATAGACTCGTAGGAAGACACGTTCCTTCCTGCAAGGAACTCCTTTAACACTCACGCTTCTTCCCAGCAAAAATAAATGAGCAGACGATAAATACAGCCATAGAAATTTAATTGCTGGTGCTTATCATTAAGGATACAAAGCCCTAAAAAAGAGGTTGTCTCTTCCTCCCCATATCGGGCATTATTTATTATCTTACACGCCACTTGAAGAACGCGTTGGATTTGCTTTCATTTATCGGCGATTTTCAAGGAAGATGTGGTTCGGAGCCGGTCGGGCTGGCAGAGGAGCGTAGCTAGTTAACATGGTTAAGCACAGCACACTGTAATGAATCAATTTGTTTCAGACAACAGACATAATTAGCGTGGAGCTAATGGGCACACCGGGGGATGAGGGACTGGAGCATCGTCCCTTGGCCAAAAATGTCAGTGGCTGGAGCTTGGAGGGGGCTCCGAGTGGTGTAATTCCCACTTCCTCTCCCCATCTCTGGGCATGGGGAGATGGCTGGAGAGGGCTTCCCATGGTGGGAGCTGCCCTCCAGGCCCCGCCCCCGTGAGGCTTCACAGCTCATGGACAGCTTGTTGTTATCCGTCCCGGCATTGCTCCCACCAGGCTGGTGGTCCATAACCCTTCCCCGGAGTGTGCTCCATCTGGGATGCACCGTCTTCCCAAGGCCTTCACTTGCTGGCTGCCACCTGGCAAGTGTTCAGCAGCACTGATTAAGTGTGGGGGAGATATCTGCAAGGTCTCAGCTGGAGACTGACCCTGCGGAGGGAGGAGGAGGGAAATGGTGTTCCTTTTCCCATGGGAATGTTTGCTGCAGAGTCTGCTCCCCTCTACAGCTCCCCAGCCTCCCCTGTGGGTCACTGGCTTGCCAACCAAGGTGAAGCAAGGATTTCCCTGGAGAAATCAGACCAGGCTCTTTCCATCTCTGGAGGATGGAGGCAGGTGGCAGAGTGGGAGCCAGTCCCACACCATGCAGTAGACCAGTGCCCACAGCTGATGGGAAGGAAGTTCGGAGTCAGGGCAGCCAGAAACCGACCAGGGAAGGACACCCAGGATGTGGTGAGGGATCCCAGGAGAGATGTGGAGGTGGCATGGGGTGAGACTGAGAACCTGCCAGAGATGCAGAGGGTGGGATTGGGAACCCGCGTGATGGTCTCAGCCTTGCCAAAGGGGCTGGGGCGGGACTGCAGTTTTACTTGACGTATACCCTGGGCTCTCGTGGAGATCAACTGCTCAGCTGTGAGCTATCTACCTGCAGCGGGGACACGGGCTGGGGCTCGTAGAGGTGATGCTGCTCTGTGTCCTGGGGCTTTCCAAAGGGTTAGTGTATTCAAAGTCATTTTGGCTGTTTGATGTATTCTCTGTGTGATGGGATTAATGTATTCATCGCCTGCTGGAGGAAGTCGCTCTTCTTTCCTGGGATTTCTCATGTGGAGGGGCTGTTGGAGCCATGTGAAAGAGGAAACATCTTACAGATAAAAAAATGGCAAAAAAAATCAACTTTTCCTTTTGGGTGTGGGCTTTTTGCTTCCGAATTTCCCTTTGAAGGTGGAGCTGCTCTGGCAGGGGAAGGTGCCTGCCAGATGCACAGGGCATTTGATACCATGCTAACAAGTCCGAACAGGATTGGGAACGGAGCAAGCTCAGCTCAGGAGTGAAGACAGCAGACAGCCATCTGCCTCTGGCCAAGACCTTGCTCCCTGGTTGGGTTCCTGGTTGTCCTTCTCTGAGCGTTTAGATACACTGTGACACACAACTCCTCGCTTGCCTCCTCCATTCCCAGATCCCTCAGGAAGACATCGCTATGCAGATTGTCCACGTGCTAAGGTGACATGAGATAGCCTCCAGGCATGAAGTAGCAGGAGGCTGCAGAACTGGAGACTTGATAGTCCATAAGGACTGCTCTCCTGCTGCAGCAAACAGCCATGACCAGCGGTCCCTCCTGTTTGGGACATCTGGTTGTACCAGTCCCAAAAACAACTGGGTAGATGAGATGGGCACTCCCTCGCTTGTCTTGTTTAAGCGGTGTAGGTGCTGGCACTTGGCAGTGTGAAGCAATACAGCATCACCCTTTCCCCACATAGCTCCTGGCAGGGCAAATCCAACATGTGCCTGGAAAGATGTTGACTCTGGGAGGACGTGGAAGAAACGTGATGGGGGGGGGGGAGTTGTTGCACAAGGTTCCTGGGGGACGGATGTGAAAAAGAGTGAGCTTGTGGTGGTTATGAAAAGGTGAGTGGGATGGGAACCGAGAAAAGAAAGATGGAGACAAAGAAGGAGATGAAGAGATGTGGAGGGAAGCAGAGGTTAAATCACAGACGACCTGGAAGGAGTTGAAGGTGACATGGAGATGGACTGGGGCAGTGCAAGCAGGAGGTGATTACAGCGGTCCAAGTGAGGCAAGGGAGAGGAGGACTCCAAGAGAAGGCAGGGTTGTTTTGGCATTATTGATTGGGAATCCTCTGCTAATGCTCTGCTGTCTGTGTTTTGTCCTAGGGCACTAGATGAGAATATGGCCAATGGCATTGAAGATCTTATTGGGATCCCATTCCCAAACCACAGCAGTGAAGTCTTATGTGGTTTAAATGAGCAGCGGCATGACGGTCTCCTCTGCGATGTCATCCTCATTGTACAGGACCAGGAGTACCGGACCCATCGGTCCGTCCTTGCTGCCTGCAGCAAGTACTTCAAAAAACTCTTCACAACCGGCACTTTAACAGACCAGCCCTATGTTTACGAGATTGACTTTGTCAAGCCTGAAGCACTTTCTGCCATCCTCGAGTTTGCCTACACCTCAACCCTCACCATCACCACCTCAAATGTCAAGCACATCCTCAGTGCTGCCAAGATGCTGGAGATCCAGTGCATTATCAACGTATGCCTTGAAATCATGGAGCCTGACAGAGAGGCAGAAGAGGAAGATGACAAAGAGGACGAAGATGATGACGAAGACGAAGATGAAGATGAGGAGGAAGAGGAGGAGGAGGAAGAAGTGGAAGACTTTGTCAATCAGGAGAACCTAACTGATGTCCAAGAAGTAAGCTGCCACCAAAGCCCTTCCAAGTCTGGTCTCACCGAAGAAGCATATACAGAAGCACCTAAAGACTTTCCAAATCACTACCCAGCCAATAACTCCTCTGGACACTTGGGTGTGATACGAGACTTCTCCATCGAGTCCTTGCTAAGGGAAAACCTGTACCCTAAGTCGAACATCCCAGAAAGGAGGCCAGCGCTCTCCCCTTTCGCCCCTAGCTTCTTCCCTCATCTGTGGAACGGTGATTTTAGCTCCTTCTCCCAGCTCGAGGAGCCACAGGTAGACAATGGCCCCTTGGATCTGGTCATCAAAAAGAGGAAGATCAAGGAAGAGGAGGAGAAGGAAGACCTGCCCCCGCCTCCTTTCCCTAATGACTTCTTCAAGGACATGTTTGCCAACACGCCAGCAGCTCCCTTAGGGCACATTAAGGCAGAGACTGACTATAGCGCTTACCTCAATTTCCTAAGCGCTACCCAGTTTGGAGGAGTTTTTCCCCCATGGCCCCTGGAGGAAGAGAGGAAGATAAAGCCCAAGGCGTCCCAGCAATGTCCCATCTGTAACAAAGTCATCATGGGGGCCGGCAAGCTGCCCAGGCACATGAGGACCCACACGGGAGAGAAGCCGTATATGTGCAATATCTGTGAAGTCCGCTTTACCAGGTTGGTTACCTCTGCTGTGCGTGGCTCTGTGTGGGGGGTGGGGGTGGTTGGAGAGGTCATGTCATGACCCATGGCTGATTCCTAAGCTACACATCTCTTTTTCCCCCCCCCCAAAAAAGTAGCAAAGAAAGCAGGGCATGATCTCAGCGCCTTCAGGAAGAAGGGGAGGAAGGGAGGATGGAGGAAGAAAACAAACCTACTGACTTTGGTGGGTTGTGGATCAACATCCACAATTCACTGGATCCATCCACTCACTGGATAAAAGCTTAACTAAGTGACAGGATTCTTTCAACCCCTCCATAGTTCACCACAGTTGGACTACAGGGAGTTGGAAAATGTGGTCAATCAGCCAAGGAGGCTTCATCTCTAATGTGTTGGGAGATGCGTTGAGTAGGGAGGGCCATTTAGCTGCGGGATGTAATTAGTTTGGGTTTGCACATTTTGGCATCAGTGTAGACCACAACCAAGTTGCACATGTTTAGACATGACTGCCTGGGTTTTCTGAAGCTGGATCTGTTCTAATTACTATGTGTTAGTAGCGAGGTGGGTGTTGGTCTCTTCTCCCAAGTAACAAGCAATAGGATGAGAGGAAACGGCCTCAAGTTGTACCAGGGGAGGTTTAGGTTGGATATTAGGAAAAACTTCTTCACCAAAAGGGTCGTCAGGCATTGGAACAGGCTGCCCAGGGCAGTGGTTGAGTCACCGTCCCTGGAGGAATTTAAAAGACGTGTAGACGTGGTGCTTAGGGACATGGTCTAGCAGTGGACTTGGTAGCGTTAGGTTAATGGTTGGACTTGATGATCTTAAAGGTTCTTTTCCAACCTAAATGCTTCTATGATTTATCACCCCAAACGCTGGCCACCCAAGAGCCTGGCACCTCAACTGCCTCCATGGTCAGTGGAAAGAGATCAGCAACTTCAGAGAGGTAGATGAGGAAAGGGGATGAGCAGGGGTCATCCCTGACCATGAAGACAACCTGTGGGGCTTAGATTAGGGTACCTAACTTTTAGTTATCTCAAGTTAGGTGAGGCCAGCCCCAACGTGGGCTGCTCCATGGGCTTCTCCAAGGCAGATCCACCCCTGGTACCAATTCCCAGCTTTTGCACCTCTTTTCACCCCAGCAGACCCCTCGATGGTAGTAAATTGTCGCAGGCTACACAACTCTAACACAACCCTTCTCTGAAAAGCTGGGCAAATTTAATCGGTGAGCGGAGACGAAATAGATTCCTGGACCTGCTCTTGCTGGGTATAATTAATATCTAATGAGTGCAATCTTTACCATAATAATAAAGCTTTCTGACAAGAGCGTGGTGTCTCAGCTCCTGGCTGCGTGTGAGAGAGGGAGCCCTATTAAGCTGGGGCGAGCAGACCAGAGGAAAATAATAGGCACAGTAGGCAAAGGCGAGCTCCTGACAATGGCCGGACACCTGCGGTGCTCCCGCGTTCCGCCTGTCTTTTCTTCTCCCGTCCCTCTGATAATATTCGAGTGGAAGTTATGCAGATGATGAGGATTTGACCTGAAAATAAATTTCCGTGCTCCGCTCCATTAGCACAGCAGACACCGTTATTATCATGCAGGAAGCGTCGTGCCGCGGGGCGGGCGTACGCCACGCGAGCCGGCTCACCCTGGTGCTGGCAGGGGAAAGGCCGCTGCCCGGTGTTAATTCCTGCCTGCAGGAATTTGGATCCGGCTCCTGATGGTGCTGCGTCCTCAGATTAGCGCTTGGGTCGTCACCGGCGGGCTCTGCCAGGAGGAGTGGGATGGGTTCAGCCTGGTGAGCGCGGCACCATCTGGCCAGCCCTGTTCTGCGGTCGCCGTCGTGGGTGTGATGCTGCAGGTGCTAATTGCTGACGAGGAGATAGCTTGGCTTGACCCATCACCGACACCTTCCCTGTAATGGGAATAATAGAGCTGAGCCCTCCCAGAGGGCTCCCGAAGTGCTTTACAAGCAAGGGCAGCATTGTTGACTTCGTTTGGGGAAACTGAGGCATGGAGCAATGACTGGCAGTCACTGCAAAGGTTAGTAGGAGGGTTCAGGTGGGAATTCAGGTATCCTGACCCCTAATCCAGACCGATTAAATCAGCATCTTGGAGGTTAAAAGCTCCACGCAGAGATGGTCTAGTGTAGCCTGTTACTAACGGGCAGCGTTAAACCCAAGAGCTTCTACTTCCTCCGTATGCTCAACAGGTCCTAAATACAAAGCATAGGGGTAGGAGGACTTTAACCCAAGAAGATGATCACAAAGGAAATTGGGGCTAACCCAGCGGTGCAGTCTCCCATCGTCACTCACAAAAATGGAGCCGTTCGTTTGGGTCACTGCACGCAGAGCTGAAGGCTGAAGGGTTTTTTTCCTCCTTTAACACCCTGAACAAAGTCAAAATTTCAAAACATTGGTTTATCTTTACATGTATTCAGAAGTATTTTGAACAGAATGCAGCTGTTGGGTTTTTTGAGGTATTTTTTTTAACCATCTTTAGCATCAGTCTGATGTGAGACCTCTCCTTTAGGAGAAAGTGTATTTAAGCAAAGGGAAGTGATTGAGATGTAAAAGGAGATTTCTGCTGGGATTTCCTGAACGCCGCTGCTGGCCTTACATGTTTTGTTCTCAGGGGGAATCTCGTGCTTCCCAAAAGCATCAGGCGCGCACCCACGACAGTGAGCAGTCCCTTCGCTGGGGAGATGCAAGCCCAGGTGGTCCCCCCTGGGGTCCCCAGGGAACGAGGGAGCAGAGGTTCCCAGATGGGATTTCTGGATGAATCAGTCCTTTGCATTATTTTTGTGCCGAAGGAACTGTGGAGAAGCAAATTTACTGGGGGAAATAGAGAAAGTAGGTTTTCTTTGGGGGGAGTGTCCCAACCTCCCCATCTCATCCCTTCCCGTTCATGTCAGTGGGATCCCGCATCCCACGGCAAGGACCCCATGTGCACCTGGATCTGCCCCTCCCGATTCCCAGGGACGTCTGATCGCAGGAAGCAGGACTTCATTTAATAGCTCATTAATTTTTTTCCTTAAACAAAGGCTGCTCAGCTTCTAGTCTGCTGGTTTACCCTGCTAAAACGCTGGAGAAAACTGCAAATATTTCGGCTTTTCCACCAAGACAACTCCAGAGCGCTCAAGGAGAAACTGTTCCAGCCAGAAAGGTTAACATTATTTGTTCCTATTATTTGTGTTGTGACAGCTCGCAGAGCCCTAATCACTCTCCTAACGCAATTGCATTAAGGTTATTCACACACACGGAGCGTGGTCCTCCTTCAGAGGAGCCTGCGAGCGAGCTCCCATCCCACAAAGCTTGTGTTTCCCATGCCACATCCTCCCTGGCGTGCTTCACCACAGCCGGATCATAAAACCCGCCTCGCCCCCCCCCCCCCCGCCCCGAGAAAACCTCTGAGCTTCTCCAGGTAGAGTCATAAAATCTCTCTTCCATCCCACGGAGATACTGCTGGGGCAGAGAGGATTGAGTTTCTCCCTGTCTGCTGCCAGAGAGGGGTAATAGCCTGAAAAAAGCTTTGCCCGTATTTACATTACAGAGTCTTGGCACGCTTCACATTTATTAGGAAAAGCGATCCTGCTAGGTTAAACATTACATATATAGGTCTAAATTATATTATAGGTGGGGCTGGTAGCTCTGCCTTTTATTAACATTTCCCAACACTTCGCATTACAAGCCCCTGCCTTCATCTGCTCCCGACTTTGCTGCACATTATCCGTTTGGGATGAAAATTTCCACGCGGCTTTGTATTCAGCGCTGGCAGGGGAAACGTGCCCTTGTTAAAATCTCAGGATTACAGCATCTTTGAAAATTGTAGACTGGGAAGTGGGGATCCGGCCCTGAGCTTGGCAAAGGGACCGAGAGATGCTTTTTTTTTTTTTTTTTTTTTTTTTCCCTGTCTGCCTAAAAGTCCGCAGGAGTCGTAAACCTTGGAAAAGCAAAGCTCGTGCAAGCTCGTTACAGCCTCCCTACAGGCAGGGAGCATCTCCACTGCCACTGCAGATGCCGGACCAGGCTGTGACCTGTTTCTCAAAGGATTTCTCAAAGGCAATTAAGCATCATCTGGTGAAGAATAGACTCTCCAACTAGAGATACTTCTCTGCATCCGTGATCCCGAGGGCCTGGTTTTTGCAGAGATGCCCATCCCAAGGCTGCACTCCTCGTGGTGTGGCCGACACCGGCGTGCTGCTGGTCGCGTCGCCGAAAACTAGTTTGAGACGCACACGGGCAGGGTGGCAGAAATTAGCGCAAAGGCAGCACCTTGCAAGTTTCCAGGGCTTGATCTGCCAGCGTAAATAGATTTTTGGGGTGGTTTTTGCTTTTTTTTCCCCTTGGAGGCTCACGTATTTTATATATAATAATGACATGACTGCTTTTAGATGTTCCCCTTAAAAAAAAAAAACAAAAACGAGCACGATATACTGTAAATAAGTGCTTTTAGGATGGGTATTACGCTGTTCCGTGGCTGTATTTCAAAATCTTCTCCAAAATGTGTGCGAGGCTGGATGTGGGCTGGCCTCGGAGATTGTGGCAGGGGAGGACGGAGGGTACAGAGCGCCCGGGCGATGCCTGCACCTCTGCCAGCCTCACCCTGCGCCGCACTCCCCCTTCATACGAAGGCTCCTGAGACACCCAGTGGTCAGTGCAAGGATAAAAGGAAAGGAAAATCCGCTCCAAGAGGGACTTCATTTAAGCGGTGTTGCCCCACGTTGCCAAGCCCCTGAAACTCAACTAATTTCGTAGAATCACAGAATCACAGAATGGTTTGGGTTGGAAGGGACCCCAAAGATCATCCAGTTCCAACCCCCCTGCCATGGGCAGGGACACCCTCCACTACACCAGGTTGCCCAAAGCCTCATCCAACCTGGCCTTGAACACTTCCAGGGATGGGGCAGGCAGGAATATACCTGGACTTATTTAGATATTCCTATATGTTTTTGAGGTGTGTATTCCAGAGGGGTTTTTCCTCCAATTTAGGTTGTTTCGAACTCTTTGGGGCACGCTGCACACTCCTGACACGGAGGGCTGGATCTGTGCGGTGTTTAGACGGGGAGGAGGAGGAGGTCGATGCAAACGCCAGCCTGCGAGAGCATACCCACACTGAGGCAGTGCCGCAGCTGGGATGAGCTCCCCGCCTTCCCTCTCCGGATCCAAGGAGCAATCCCAACCCCATCCCTTCCAGCCTGACCAAGCGCCTTTTCTTTTGCAGGCAGGACAAGCTGAAAATCCACATGAGGAAGCACACGGGGGAGCGGCCGTACCTGTGCATCCACTGCAACGCCAAGTTCGTGCACAACTACGACCTGAAGAACCACATGCGCATCCATACGGGCGTCCGGCCCTACCAGTGCGAGTTCTGCTACAAGAGCTTCACCCGCTCCGACCACCTCCATCGCCACATCAAACGCCAGAGCTGCCGCATCGCACGACCCCGGCGAGGACGCAAGCCGGCAGCGTGGAGGGCAGCCGGTTTGCTCTTCGCTCCCGGTGGTCCACCGATGGAGAAGAGCTTCGTGATGCCACCGACGCTGGAGGAGATGAGCCCTTGGCGGCGCGGCCATGTGCCTTCCCGGCCCCAGCCCCAAGCACTTTTTGAGTGGGACGAAGACCTCCTTCAGCCTGCAGGAGCTGGAGAGCCAGTTTGAAGAAACCCAGATGAAGCTCTTTAGGCGAGCCCAGCTGGACATGGAGAGGAACGCGGGCATCTTCGCCTTCGCCCTGGGCCATAACGAAAACCTTGCTGCCCAACCCTTCTTCCCCCTTCCCGATCCTTGGAGTGCGGGCTTCAGTGGCTTTTTT